ACCACATTGCCACGAGTGCCCTTGGGTCATAGGGCAGATGTGAATTTCAAAGAAGACCAGGCCGAGTGGTTAGCGTGTCAAGCTCTCATCCTGCACTGTCGCGGTTCGACTCCCGCTGAGTGTGCTGATAGGACCGATGCGAGGTCGAAACTCCAGTCCACCCTGGATGAGAACAACTTTTGGGAAAGCAATTTTATGTGATATTCAATGGAAATATCAGCTCAACTCATATCATTGTGGGAAAATTCTTCGTCTGCCAGTCCTCCATCATCTTAAACGAAATTGGGTGAATACAGAGGTTGTTTGACATTGTTTTCGCAACATGGTCATATTGATAGGAAGACTTATTGGAACGCACCTAGTCCGAGGTCCATTGTCTGCATGATCATTTCCAAAGTTGAATCGGGGACGTGGTACATTCCCGTGTCTCTTTGACGATTTGTTGTGTGGTGCTAAGAATGACGAGACTCACTGACGATGCCGGCGAAACGTCTGGGAATGTACCATGTCCACGGTTCAACTTTGGAAATGATCATGCAGACAATGGACCCCGGACTAGGTGCGTTCCAATAAGTCTTCCTACCAATATGGCCATGTTGCGAAAACAAGGTCAAACAACCTCTATACAACGAAAGGAGACTGCGACCACACAAAAGGTTCTTGGTCTTCAACACACAAAAGGCCACACCATCTTGGTCTTCATACCTACGATCGAAATATGGGTGAATACATTTCATATTAAATGTTAATTACACTTTTACGCTTCTCCTATATTATTATTTATATACCCAATTTTCAGACTACTAGTATTTTATTTGATATCATATTGTTAGCTATTTTCGGTTTAAAAAGTTTCATGACGCCCTCTTAAGACAAGTATTATCTTTTGTTGTTGAAATGGATTAAGATGATGTTGAAAGTTAAAAAGTTGCATTTCTGCACCATTAATCCTCATCTGGCCGTCTCATCTACTTCAACTCTGCTGCGAACGAATTGAAGACGTATGTCTGAAATGCAACCTTCACAAAGACCTCACGACAACCAGTCAACATGTGAGTGTCTACCTGCTAGTCAGGCTGGACAGGGCAACTAACACATTGCCCTACTTGATTAATGCACCAACTCAGGAAGACGTGCTTGCTGTCCGGACAGAATGATGGAGGGAGGGGCGCTAGGCTGCCGCCATTCCGGGAAGGTACATAATCCTGGCTCGCTTTGTGCACTGATTCTCTGTCCTGGTATTGCCATTCTACCCTCTGATTCGCCCTCGATCTCACTCTCCTTCCATGTCAGTTTGCACGAAGCGTAAACATCCATGCAAATTGGCACTGGCCCGAAAACCACTTCCTCCCCGCCCTCTGTTCAGTCAACAAGAATTATGCTCCACCCGAAGCTTCACTGATACAGTCAGTGCTCGTTGTGGTGGCACACTCAAATGGGGCCCCGTCGAGACGGAACGAACAGCAACCCAAATGACCGCCCAGATGCACAAGACTTTAGTATTATAACACGACTCCCGTTGAGCTGGCAACATATCTGGTCGCCCTCCACACGTTCCTGGTAGACTGGCCGAATCGCATCATTTGCAGGAGGACACTGGCAGACAGATTCGTTGTGATTCAGTTGGCTATGTGCATACTGGTCAATGGATGCATGTATGCACCATATGCTAGTCTCTAGTTCTATACGCATTGGAAACGGCAACCACGTATCTTAGCCGTTAGGCATACCCTCGCAGCCTAACAATGCAATTCTGGAGGAATTCGTTCACCTCGATGGCGTTGACGACCGCACCTCCTTGCCACCTCCGCCACTCGGTCTCTCCTCCTTCCTCCCTGAAAG